CCTCAGCCTCCTGAGTAGCTGGGATTACAGGCACGCACCACCATGCCCAGCTAATTTTTTGTATTTTTAGTAGAGACGGGGTTTCACCATGTTGACCAGGATGGTCTCGATCTCCTGACCTCGTGATCCACCCGCCTCGGCCTCCCAAAGTGCTGGGATTACAGGCTTGAGCCACCGCGCCCAGCGATACTGGAAGTTTCTTAAAGGTAGGAACCCCATAGATAGCCTTCATAAGACCCAGCACAGGACTGAGCTAATAATAATGATGATAACAACAATAAAAGTAATAATAACAGTAACAGCTCCTATCCTTGCCCATAGGGCTCTTACCTCAGGGGGGTGCCCTTCAAAGTCAGGGCGCCTACAGTGGGAGTCATGATCATCCCACATCTCAAAAGACTCTGCACACTTGCAAGGATGACTCTCATTCATGCTCTTCTCTGTTTGACCCCGGACAATTCCACTGAAATAGACAAAGAAGGATGGTTTGGAACAAAGAATTATGCAAGGTTGGGGGCTGGGGCATGAGAATGAGGGTTTGAAAATCTTACCCAATGCCGTGAATCCCTAAACCAAGGATATAGAAGATAAAAAGGTGGTGAGTATACCAGAAGACCTCAAAATAACTCTTCCGGATGAACTCAGTAGCTGAAGTTACAATGAGAATCAAGGCTATTGTCATGATCACTCCGGTGAGACCAGCAATGCTGGTGAATGTCACATACTCCACTGTCTGTGAAAGGAAAAATGTCAACCTGGCACAATGTCCACCTGTGCACTTCCTGCTTATGACCATATCTCAGGTGCTTTGCTAGCAAGTCAACTCACCATGTTTGGGGACTGGATGGGATTTAGCCAAGAACTCCCCTTTTTCTTATCATGAGATAGGCTGGAGAGAATGGAGGCAAGGGAGCCATCTGTGGCCTGTCGGCTTCTGCTATAGCGGTCAAAGTTAAACAGGTGTGCAATGATGTGAATAGCTAAATGGAAAGATGAAAAGAAATGTTAAGAGACATCTCAGCAACATCATGGCAGGTGTGCCCCACTAGACTAGAAGAATCCTACATTATAGCACTTAGCAGAATGCTGAGTGCAAAGAAGGTGCCCAATAAACCCTTGATTGCAGAACGATCCAAGATCTTTTTTTATACTTACTCTGTTCCCAAAAGAATAGAACATAAGTTCCATGAAAATAGGCCAAGAACAGTGCGTAACAAATAGTGCCCAGTGCTCGATAAATATTTTTTGAATGTGCATATGGATGGATGGATGAAGCAAGATTCTGAATGCCCTGGAGTCTGTGGATTCAGGGCTTGCCTGAGTTACCTGTATGTAGGCAGATCATATAGGCCACCAGCTTGTGGAAGGTGAGATTGTGATCCAATTGCTTTCTCAGTGTGCGGCTGCAAGACTGCAAATGTAAAGTGATCATGGTCAGATGTCTCCAGCCAGCTTTATTAAATTCATTAACCCATAACAAACATGTCTTGCACATAGCATGCCAATACTCACCCACCCGTACCCACCCCCTTAGCTACTGAAGGAGACCTCTGGCTTCCCTTCCTAGGAGCATGATGTTGAGCTGTCCCTACTGAGGAATCCAGGTCTCCTTCTCTAATGTGAATGTTGACTTAGGAGTGGTTGGGACTCACTGAGCAGGTGCCCCTCAGGAAGGACAGCAGATTGCGACACACAGGAAGCAGGATCAACATGCTGTTAAAATTCAAGCAGAGAGCAGAGGCTCGGGCACAGGCCAATGTTGACTATGGAGTAGAATAGAAAAGGAGACCATCAGCTGCTTCATCTCACCATCTAGCATGTGAGCCACTGACCCAGCCACTCATCCGAGGCCTGCAAATGAACAGGGCTCCAGCTGCCTCCCCTCTCAGTAGCTAGCATGATAAGGCCAGGCTCTGTTTGCAAAATGCACAAAATATGCTGAATTTAATATTGAATTGAGAAATTCCCGTGACAGTAGTTAGGAAATGTTTGACTACGTTTATTAACATGAAAGAGAATAGGATTTAATGATTACATGTTAGTAAATACATTCTATGGATGTAACATTTTGTTTAATACTCTTAATTATAATTGTATTATTTGTCACTTTTAAAAGAGTCTTAAGGATCTGGCTCTATTGCCCAGGCTGGAGTGCAGTGGCAAGATCTCGGCACGCTGCATCCTCCGCCTCCTGGGCTCAAGCCATCCTCCCTCCTCAGCCTCCCGAGTAGCTGGGATTACAGGTGCACACCACCATACCCAGTGAATCTTTGTATCTTTGGCAGAGACAGGGTTTTGCCATGTTGCCCAGGCTGGTCTGGAAGTCCTGAGCTCAAGTGATCTACCTGACTTGGCCTCCCAAAGTGCTGGGATTACAGACGTGACACACCATGCCTGGCCAAGGATTATATATACCTTTATTTGCATTTTAAGTAAAGCTCATATTTAGAGGTATAATTACGGATGGTATTTTATTCTTTTCTGTATTTTCTAATATTGCAGTTATAAGCACATAATAGTTGTATAATAAAAACTTAAAATTTTTAACCACTTCTATTTAAGATGTCTTTAAAAATTGAACAAAATTAGTCAAGACTAGGAAACCTCTTAGAGTAAAATTTTTAAACAGGTAGATATTTGAGAAGAGACAACTTCAGAGAAGCACAATTTTAAGCTGATTTCCTTGCGTGGCCAGGCAGCATAAATCAAGAACAACTTGCTCCAGCAGTAGAAGCTGCTAGCAAAGGAGACAAGGAATCAATGCTTCAAAGAAGTATTTAGTCCAGAAAAACAGGCCTTACTAGGTATAAGCTGGACAGAATATTAACTCCATGGCAGCTTAACTCTATGGCAGCTAAATCTGACTTCTCAACTCCATACAACTGGCTTCTGAGTCTACTACATGAACTTGGGACTGCTATGGAGTGTGACAATGTAGTAGCAGAGGAGCTGGCAGCAGCAGCCAGGAAATTTTTGTTGCACTTCAGCTGACTGGCCAGCCTTACACTGTGTGTCTGTCAAAGACTTTCTAAAAGAAGGGGTATAGGTTAAGGTTAGCATTTCTTAGTCTTTTTCTAATTATCTATGAAGCACAAAATTGATTTTTCTTATATCGTAAACCCAGGACAGCCTGACATTAACTTAGTAAGCCAGGACAAGGTCTGTCTAGCATCCACAATGGCTACTAAGAATGTCAGGCAGTGTGGTGAACAAAAGCTGCCCTACTGTTTTCCATTTCTGGCTTTTCCACATGACCTATGTTTTCTCCCTCTGCTGAGTCACGCTCTGACTGTTTTTGGTACAGACAGCCTGTTCCATTTCTGAGTAAATTTCCTCCGCTCATCTCAGAGATCCTGCATATCCACATTGGTTCCCACTACTTGCTTATTTGAATCACAGAGATTTCTTAAAGCTAAAATTGGCAAGTGAATTGAAAATACAGGACTATAATTTCACAGTTCCATATTCTGTGGTGGCTATCTATATAGGATGGATTCTTTTTAGAGAAAACATTTTTTCCTCATTGCAACACATTTAAATACACCAATGTATGTTCATTTCTCTAGATCCACACTCACTGGTGTTATAATTGAACTCCTGCTGTCATTAATGCATCATTGACTATGGATTTAAACTTCTTCCTCTGCTGCTTATCTGCTCTACTTCATAGAGAATCAAATTGCTCTCTGTATTTTCCCAAGGTGAGGATGAATTTAAGAAATAACCTGTGGAGTGTTTAAATAAATTATGGTACATCAATGCAATGAATTGTTATTCTCTTTTTTCTTTTTATTTTTCGAGATGTTGTTTTGCTCTTGTTGCCCAAGCTGGAGTGCAATGGCGATCTCGGCTCACTGCAACCTCGGCCTTGCGGGTTCAAGCGATTCTCCTGCCTCAGCCTCAGCTGGGATTACAAGCATGTGCCACCACACCTGGCTAATTTTGTATTTTTAGTAGAGATGGAGTTTCTCCATGTTAGTCAGATTGGTCTCGAACTTCCCAATCTCAGGTTATCCACCTGCCTTGGCCTCCCAAAGTGCTGGGATTATAGGCCTGAGTGACTGCACCATGCCTGAATTGTTATTCTCTTAAAAGAATGAGAGCTCTATGCAGTGATGCAGTGGTGGTAAATTTTTTTTTTTTAGACAGAATTTCGCTCTTGTTGATTTTTGAGGGGAGGGAAAATTCCCGATTTCCAGCATTCACCAATTTTGATGATGTAACTACTCCCACCATGGCAGATTTCAAGATACTAACTTGATGTCATTGAACACCACTGAATGCAGAGTTGGGAAGAGATGCACACAACTGGCATTGCAAGCTGATAGGAGCTGGTTTCAGCACACCACTGGTTAGGTACTCACATGAAAAGATAACTGAGGCTGGGTACAGTGACTGTTATAATCCCAACACTTTGGGAGACCAAAGCAGATGGATCACTTGAGGTCACACATTTGAGACCAGCCTGGCCAACATGGTGAAACCCCATCTTTACTAAATATACAAAAAATTAGCCAGGCCCTGTGGTACACACCTGTAATCCCAGCTATGCGGGAGGCTGAGGCAGGAAAATCACTTGATCCTGGGAGGCGGAGGTTGCAGTGAGCTGAGATTGCACCACTGCACTCCAGGCTGGGCAACAGAGTGAGACTCCATCTCAAA